TTTTTAACTCCTATATCAATTTTCTTGAAGAACAGATGATGCTTTGAATGGATCAGCCCATTGCCCAGAGTTTCAAGGGAAGGCCTCTCCGCTAGCTTCTCTTGGACAATGTCTCCCATAAAACCTCCGAGGCACTGAAATAGCATGTTTTTGTGTCCACTCTCCTGCTAGCCTGTTGTACTTCTGCCGGCCTTGTAAGTATGGGCTCTCTCTGGCACCAGGGGGTCATCGCAGTTGGGGTCGCAGAGCAGTGAGCAAATGGACAGGAGAACTTTGGACACAGTCAATGCTGGAGACCACCAAGACCACAGGATGTCACGGCAGATGCTGCCATTACTGTTGATACTGGGGTGAGAAAATCTGGTTGTGAAAGCAACCTTTGGGGGCTTTAATCCATAGGAAAGTGGGTGGTCAGGAAGAAAACTCCTCCTTGGTAAGGACAGCCACTAATTATCACCCACAGGCCCCATGGAACACTGGGCAGGAGGCTCCCTCTTCAAGTCCGTTAATTCCTTCTGGATCCGCTTTAGTGCCAACCTATCCCTCTGCTGGGGGCTGCAGTGGCCCAGCCACACTGCACTTTCTGGATACAAGTTTTTTGAAAATGCTGCTTCACTGTTACCTTGCCTTGTATGTTGGCGTCCATCGAATTCAGTTGCTTTTATAACTTGTTTCACAGTGATGCCTGGAGACCTGAGTATGTCTTATCTTTAAAATCTAATAATTTTACCATGATATGGTCTTGAATTTGATCATCTTGGTTTAATTTTTCTGTCACCTGATGGGTCCTTTCAATGTGCCTCATAAGTAATCTGTCATTTTCATTTTAATAAATCAAGTTCCTAGATTGTTCTCCCAAAAGCCTGATTCCTGTTTAGAGAAAAAAATACTAAGAAAAACAAGAAATTACATATTGTGTTACAATTTTTATTCGACAAATACAGAGATTCCCAAAAAAGTTAAAACAAAGTAGAAAACAACTCTAGTGTTATAAGACCAGTAGGTTCTTCTGTGCAGTGTTAGACCAATACACTGAGACAGCAGTTCGCAACAGAGAATTTAATGACCACAGGGCAGCCAAGGGAAGAGATATGAGTAGACCCTGAGATCCATCTCCTCAAGAACTTCTGCATTAAGGCTCCTAAGGGGATTGTGGAGGGTGAGGGGTTGGAAAATTAAGGTTGTTGATCGGTCAGGGGAAGGGGGATGAAATCATTAGGATGTGGAAACTGTATTCTTCGTTGAGTCAGTTCCTCAATGGGGTCCTTCAGACCAGCTGACATCAGTAGTTTCACTGGTACACAGGATCTGAAAGAATATCCCAAATGGGAAAGTGAACATTTCGTAATGCTCAGGTTGTTATCTATAGAACAGTTCAGGAGAACTGTAATCTAGAGTCTGCCTGATTCCAGCACCACAAGCACCAAACAACTGTGAGGATGCAGGTCCAAGAGAAGCCTGCCCTCAAGGGTAATGCAGAATGTGCTACAAGCTTGTTTATTTTTGTTTCTCCCCTTCCCTTCTTCCCTGATTAATTTTATAAAATTTATAGAGGCAGTTTCAATGGCTTCAACACAATACTGCCAGGTAAGGACTTGAACCCAAGAGGCGGAAGTTGAAGTGAGCCTGAGAGAGGAGACCATCTCTCTCTCCCTTGCCTGTCCTCTGTTAGAAAAGGGAGAGGGGAGATAAAATAGCACAAAGTTAAAGTCAGTAGTCGGGCGAGACGCTGACCCACCGGCCCGACCACAGCAGGGCCCAAGGACTGAAGAATAGCCCCTCTCTCTGTATCTGGTGCCTGCGTTATCTGTCAGCCTTGAAGGTGTTGCAAATGTTCTTCTTACTGCCCAAGGACCTTCTTTGAGTCAGGTACTCCCCATCTGCACCAACCAGACCCACCCCCTTAGAGATGCCTCTGTCACTAAGTGATTTACTGCCTTTGCTCAACTTCTGTAACTCTTCCCCTCCCACACCACATGTAAATTAGCAAATCAATGAAAGCCAAAGCTTGTAATGTCAGATATCCAGCCAGTGGGCAATGACGCAGTCTTACCTCTGCTTCCTCTTGAGTTGCATGTCTTCAAAAAGGGAAAGAAACTGTGTTTCGGGGAGCTCAGCATCTTTTGGACACGAGCAAACTGATGCTCCACAGCTAGCTGAATAAAAGCCTTGTCCTTCCTCACTCCAGTATCTGGGGGGTTCTGTCACAGCTCCTCCTGCAACAAGCCACCATCGAGCCACTGCTACACTGCTCCATCTCAAAATAAACAAAAAAATCAGGCCAACATGTGTTGACACACATTGCTAGGAATCCAGGGATCTACCTGGAGAATAGATGAAAGTGACAAAAGTTTTACATACCAATATTCAAAACTGCAGTGAACTACCAGAAACACTTGCCGCTTTGAAAGATAGACTATGCTAAGTGACTCCAGGCATGAGCCACCATGCTTGGCTAATTTTTGTATTTTTAGTAGAGACAGGGTTTCACCATGTTGGCCAGGCTGGTCTTGAACCCCTGACCTCAGGTGATGCACCCGCCTTGGTCTCCCAAAGTGCTGGGATTACAGGAATGGCTCTTGATTCTAACTGCAAGGTCACTAGATCATTAGGTCATTTCCTGAATATGTTATGTTCC